TCTTTGAAGAGATTAGAAGGCTTGGTGCAGTCTCCTCTGAGCACTTTTACTATTGTGATCCCAACATGAGAGCACCCTAAAGAGAACGCAGCACTACTCCTCCTTACCTTCCACTATGAGCCACACTTGTTGTGATTCTTCCTTCTTCCCCTTGTTCTCAACCTGGCACCAGTACTTCCCAGAATCTGTCCGCTCAACAGATTTCAAACTGAAAAGAGTGAAAAAACACATTGATATCTTACACGTATAAAGCAGCTTTCATCCCACAGAATCCTAAAGCACTAGGCAAACTAGATACACACACAGCACCACCGATATGTAGCCACCTCTGGGGAAGAAGGCAGTAGCCAACCAGCACAAAGCATGCATCACAACAGTGGATAGACAACAGAGATCCTTTGGGTCAAGCCCTACTTGTGTGAATGGTGCAGGGGGATTTTTAATACCTACGCAGAGCAGATAGGCCCTCATCTGAATTATCTACCAACAGGAAACAGCATGGTACTTAATTCACCTATATTGAAAATATAACCCACTAGATTCTGAACTAGTGAGTCCAGAGAGTCCAGCTATTCTAAGAATGGAAGCTTGGCCGACTAAATCATCCCTAGCTGGCAGCTCCAATTCATGCACCTGCTGAGAACGGAAATGCTGTACTTTTGTTAGGGACATGATAGATTGCACAAACCCTCCCCTGCGGGTCAGAATTAGCACTCTTACACCTTCCCCGACTCAGCATCATTCTTATCCCAGGAACACTTCTAGCGAACTGATCTCTTCATACTACAAAATATCTAGGGCCAGATCCTCGATCTGTCATTTCAGTGAAGCCACACTGAGTTACACCAGCTGAGGATCTGATCTGCAGGGCCTAAGTTTGGTCTCACTCAAACAGGTGCAGGTCCCACTGACTTCCAAGACAGCTTACCCAGACAAGCGGGGGCAGATCCAGGGCCTAAGTGATAGTAAAGTTTTAGACCTCAAATCCAAGGGGGAAATTCTGCCCTCAGTTAAACGGCAGAGTTTGCTCCAAGAGTTGAGGTTTCAAGGTCTTGGATACCAAAGACCTCAGAGAAAGTGAAAGTGCCCTTTGATTATACAAATGCAAAATGCACCATTCTGATGTTGCGGCCATGCATCTGCTGCCATGCAGTGACCCTGAGCAGATCTGACACTCCTTTTTAAATGCCAAAAGTTGGTCTTGGTGACGGGGTGAATGTGCAGGGTGGAAGAAAGGAAGGGGAGAGTGCTTGCTGAAATGCACAAAATGCTCCCACTACAGCCTGATTTTCAGAGCTGTACCTTCAGATGAAACCAGCTGTCCTGCCCATCCAGCCGCATGTTCTGAAACACAGTGACTGTAGGAGAAAGGCATAAAACAGTGGGCGGTTGAAATGATCTCTTTAGGAGTAAGAAGGAAACAGGAAAAGAAAACAGCCATATTTGGATCCAGTATCCAGAGTCAGCACTGGTGCTATGGAGCTATTATCAGTGGAGGAATGTGAAGGGTGAGAAAGGCCTATAGAAATCAGAACCAGGAGAACGAGAAAGTGGGGAGACACAAAAAAGACCTTAATCTGGGTGCAGGGAGGGAATATATGATGAAGATGGTATATAATGCAGTATTGCAGGGTGACTATATGATACAGTATTGCAGGGTGGATTACTGCACCCAGATTTTTCCTATCAGAGGAAAGTTTATTGCAGTCCAAGTTCATCTATAATCAAGTCTCATGCTTCAAGGTTTCAGACAGTCCACTGCAAGGGTCAGAAAGGAGTTCTGCCTCCTCCCACCCCCAACTGGCTAGATCTAGTCCGTTTTGGAGGGATAGCATCAGAGATTGGACATAGCTGGAGATGGGCCACTGGACAGGCTAGTTGACTGCTGTAAAGTGGTGCAAAGAATCCTATGTCTAGAGATCTGGCTGGTAGGACTTGCTCAGGGTCATACTGACTGCCAGGTTTGGGGTTGGGAAGGAAATTTCCCCTGAATCAGATAAACAGGGACTCTGGGTTTTTTGTTTTGCTTTCCTCTGCTACATGATGCATGGTTCACTTGCTGGGATTATCTGGACAGATCCCTCTTTATCACTTCCCCGCCATTGCAAGGGCATTGGTGGCACCTTGGTCTCTCCTGTTCTCTTCCTGTGGGACACAGCAGCTTAGTCTCCTCAGAGCTGAAATGCTTTAGCCTACTGGTCTCACGCACCATTGGGACAACTGTGTGAAAAGCAATGGCCTATGTTATACACGTCAGACTAGATGATCTACTGGTCCCTATCGTTTGAATCTATGCAATTCCAAGGACTCTTAGGGTGCATTTAAACTGCACCCAGAGCTTGAAATAAGCAATGCAATTTGAGCTATGCAAATTGTGTAGCTTATTTCAAGTCAATTGTGAAATAGCTTATTTTGAAATTTGGCGCTGTCTACACAGCACTTCTTTCAAAATAAATTGCTATTCCAAAATGTCCCTTAGTCCTCATGGAATGAGGTTTACAGGAATGTCGGAATAGTGAACCAATATGTTTTGAAACAACAGGCACACTTTAAAAAAGCGCGGAATAGCTATTTTGGGATACCTCTGGTATCCCAAAACAGCGTTGTGGTGTAAACATAGCCTTAGTGATAGGAATTAAACTCCAAAATATGCTAATCCAAAGGAGGGGAGGAAGCCTGTGCTTGCGAATGGATGATCCTAGACTGCTCCTGGCAGCTCCAAGTACACTCCCTCTCAGACCATGCTGTTTTGCACTAAACTCCCTTATGCATGGAGAAAGGTCTCAGACCATGCTGTTTTGCACTAAACTCCCTTATGCATGCAGAAATCCGATATGGAGCATGGGCCCTTGTGTAACCCAGTACTACTCCTGGGATACACAACAGGCCACCTACTGCTGAAGAAAAAGTATAAAGAAGAAAAGGCTGGCTCTGCAGGCAGCTTTTGAGGCCTCCAACAAGAGCAGGCCTGATATAAATGCTGGAATAAATGTGCTATGACTAAGGGATGGTGTGCATGACAAAGTCTCCTCTCCAAACAGGATTGAAATCTGGTCCCAGGAGTCTAATTTTAATTAGGACACCTAAACCTTTTAGTCAGAGAGAGGGAGAGGAAGAGAGAAAATTTATTTATCCAGGTCAGAATTTAAGCTTCCAGCTGCGCTGCAGAATTTATTAGAACAAACAAGATGAAAGCATCCTACCATACTGCTTTTTGTTTTTATTCATTTTCTAGTGCTCGTAAGGGAGCTGGACAGAGAGCCCCCTATTGATTATCCAGATATGGCATGAATACAACTGACAAAAGCTTCCCCCGGCACTGATCTTTAGCTCCGGTCTACTGCAATCCCCAAGACTTTGAGGAAGTAATTCAGCCTCCAGGTCCATTCAGTCCTCTGCTGAACTAGCAGCAATACTACCAACTGTGGTGATGAAGAACTATTTACTGGCAACTGGGCTGAGACTATTAACCCATCTTTGTGACCACTGAAGAGACTTCAGATGGCAAGAACTTTCAGACACAGCTGACTGAGGTTGGACTTCAACTGGGGATTTAAAGTGAGAGACCCTGCTGCCTTTTAATAATCCTTTAAACCATCCTACATCCACAATATTGCTCAGGAGTGCATACAACACAGAATTAGGGATGTGAAAGGGTAACCAGTGAACAAGTAAGCATCACCCGTTATCTGGTGGGGGCTGGAGCAGCTTCCCGCCTGCCGGGCCTGCCATAGATATGGGTTGCTCCAGTCATCTGGAGCAGTCGCTGTTCATAATGTGCGCAGGTGCACCACACAGGCTACTCTGGACCACTGGAGCAACCCCTGCCTGCAACATGCCCAAGCCTGCTGCCGACAAGGCCAGGCTGGAACAGCCCCTGCCTGTGGCCTGGGGGGCACTCCAGTTCACTCACCTCTCTTTTAGTCAGTTAAATTGGTTAACATCACATTTAACCGGTTAACCAATTAAACAGGAATTTACATCTCTACACAGAATGCAAGGAAAAGTTTTACTTTTTTTTTTTTAAAGGGAGAGGAAAAAAAATACAGCTAACTATCTCTCTATAATTTCACAGATTCTGCAGGACTGGATGGCTTAAAGAACTTCTGATAGGATAAGCAACACCTTCCACCTCTTGACCACTGGCCTATCTAGCATTTCCAAAGCATCACAGTGTCTAGGAGCCTTTTCAGATTCTACCAGATACAATCCAACCCTTGGAATAAATTCCATTCTCAGTTATGCCCAGGCAAGCTAGAAAGGTACAATCACATGGTGGTCAGTGGGATTCCACTGACGTAGGTGACAGCTTCCATGATGGTCTATCTCCTCCACAGCTGTTGTACCTGAGGAAACCGATCCAGTGTTCTTCATCTAGTGGAATGTACACCTGGTCTACACTTTGCACCACCGCTCCATCCTTGATCCACAACATCTCTGGTTCTTCTACTCCCTCGAGGCTGCAATTTAATTTTACCGGCTGACCCTGAGACACCTTTAATTTGATTGGCGATCCTGTCAATTTCATACCTAAAAAAAATAAAATAAATAAAAATAAAAAAATACTCCTCCTCCACAGCCCCAAAAGAAGTGGGGGTTGGTATGGAGCAAGTTTATCTAGGTTGGGGGTCTGAAAGGACATAATGTACAAGAACACACTGCACAGTTTTCTAACTGCCTCACCAGAGCCTTATTATGTTTGTGTCATGATTATAAAATGAGAATACTGGCATTCTGATTACTTGAAAATGGTGGAGGCTTAATCTATCCAGGGCTTCTTCAAAACCAGTGCCAGTTTGGATAGCAGCAGGATGAGCTTCCACACAGCAGTGCCCAGGCACAGCTAGATATGAAAAACATGAGCTTCTTCACAGCAGTGCTCTGGCAGTGTTGATGTGTGTGTTCCCTCAGAATGATATCATGCTGCCCCCCCATCGGTTTTTCACTTTTCAGGGGTTATGCTATGTTCCTATACTACAAATAAGGCCTCACTTCTGTTCCACTGTGTACACATTTGTAAAGAACTGGGATTTTAGACTCAATCACAGCAGGTTGCTCAGTGTAAACTGTTCTATTGCATTACAAAAGCTCCAATGCAATTTATAAACCAAGTGAAAATAAAACTTACTCTAAAGCATTGCTATTGGGGAGGGGAAGGAACAGTTTCCAGAATCCGTTTCCATTTTTCTTCAGCCAGCCATTGTGTATTTCCAGAACAGAGACAAAGGGCCTAATCTGGATCTGTTACATCAGTATAAATTTGGAATAACTCATCTGAAATCAGTGGAATTACTGTGACTGACACTGGTGTAAAAGTGATCAGCATTTGGCTGAAAGCGCAGTTGTGTGTGGGCGGGAAGCACTCCCCTCAATGAGAAATGAATGTGTGGAATGTGTCACCTTGCAAAAAACACAGAAAGCAACTGGGTAAGTAAATTTTTGAAAGATGGGCAGTTATATGGAGAATGAGGGAAGACCTTGATAAAGCAGAAAGATGGACGACAAAGGTAAAGTATCCAGTCCTACTGGATACGTGTCCATTAGTACAGGGACTGGCAAACTAGAACAGAACAATGGTTCAGGTTAGCCCAGTATCCTGCCTCTAGCAGTGGACTATATTGGATCCTTCAGAGAAAGGTTAACCTGTCCACCACTCTATTGCCCTAGATCCGCTGTGCAGAATTAAGATACTAGCTCTGCTCATATGTAGCTAGATCTATCATCAGATGACATTCCAGCCCACAGCACTATGATAGAAAAACACTAGCCTGTAGAAGCCAAGATTGCCCTTAATTAAGCATGCAGCCACAGTATTCTCAAACTTTTTTCATAGCATGAAGTGTATTTGAATACAGAAATGGCCTGCCCTACTTCCCTTTGCTCTTACACTGCATCCCCCGGTAACAATAGCAAAATCACAGTGCTCTCAGAAAAATATTGTGTGTATTTTCAGCTGTGTTTTAGCAACTGTAAAGAAGGGTGAGGAGCTGTTCATTTAGCAAATGTACTAAGAGCACTGAAACTCATTTAACTTTAGATGCAACAATGCTTTGGTTGGGCAAAGGAATTAATCACCTGAGTGAGGACGATCTAACCTCAGATTACTTAACTTGAAAGTGGCATAAATTACACATCCCAGTGCGTCCCAGAAAGCATCCTCCCTCTCACCACGCAGAATACTGAAACAGAGCATTAAAATTTCACAATACAAAGCCATCTGTTTTATATAAACCCAATGTAGCCAGGTATCCAAATGCACACACAAATTGGCAGATACTCTTTCATAATAGGTGCCTTAGCAAACAGCAAATTACTTAACTTATTCCAGTCTGCTTTGCTGAAAGGTTTAATTACAATGTACACAATATGATATCTGGAAAGCCTTTACAGGTTTCATTTCCCACCCAACCTTATTATGCTAGAAATTAAAATACAGTGCTAATGTATACTCTATTTGACTATTTTCTACAGCACTTCTGTGTAATCAATGAATAGATCTTAACTGAAAGGAAAGGGAAAATAATAACCTTGGAGTTTTTAACAGATACACATAAGATGCAGTTTAGCTGCAGCACCTTTTTCTGAAGAGAAGGGAATGATGCATACAGGTTGGCTGTGAAGAATCAGCTATAGATTTTTTGTGCACTTGAGAGGTTAAGATTAATATTTATTTCTCATTATTCCTCCTCCTACTCTCCATTTTTATATCATAACATTTTAACTAGTGCAGGAAATAAAAAAACTAACTTTTTTCCCCCACAATGTGACAACTGTAGAAGATTCATAACTGATTAGGAAATGAAATCATATTAGCTTCATACTGCTCTCAGACAGAACAGACAACAAATGAGTGCTCCGGTTATCTCTCTCCATGCAGAGTGTATTTTACTATAACAACTCTGTAGTACCTTTTGATTACTAAAGACAGAAGTTTTTTGAAGTTGTTTTTGGAATGGCAGGAGAAACAGATAGCTGCAGACTTTTACCTAAGGCAGAGACCTTCCATTCCTTTGATACGTGAGGGCCCCAATCTAGCAATCAAAATCTACAAGGCAAACCCTTAAAACCAACAGTGCTCCACCCATGTGGATCTAAACGTAGGATTGAGGCCTACATTCCTAGCTAAATCAATGGGAAACGTGTATGTGGAAGGATTAGGCTATAAAATCAAGTCCTTGTATGTCTACTTGTAGCTGAAAGTAGGAAAATGTAGGCTGGAAGGAAAATAAATAAAAGCCATGTAGGAATGGATTATCACCTGGCCTCCCTATATAGCAACTTGAGCTCTGCAAATACAGGAACAACACTGTGCAAACAGTCCCACTGATTCACTTAACTGGTATTCAGGACTCTATTTATTCGCAACCATCCAGGTCTTATTCAAGAGAATAATTCGCAGCAAGCATAAGGTTCATAAATTATAAGTATTGAATCAGTATTTCCTCCGAACATTTGCATGAGAAGTGCTCTCACCATTTTGGAAAGCTCTTCTTATTAGTCACACACAGTCAATCATTGATGGATAATTCACAAACAGAAAGGGGACGTCTGTATATTTTTTAGGCTTATGGACAAGATATTCGAATCTGGGTGCCTCAAATTAGGCTGATAAATCCATAGAAATGTATGGCCGGACAGGATCTCAAGAGGTTAAGATTAGGCATGCTTACACCCTCCTCAAATACAGGCACATAAATAAGCAACATGAATTTCAAGAGTGATCAGCAGGTCCCAATGAAGTCAATGGCCACTGCAAAGGAAATTGTGTTTGGGAGATAAAAAAACTGAGGCCAATATTTTCAAATGTAGGTGCCTATTTTTGGCTACTCCACCCACATTTGAAGCACAGATGGCCTGATCCATAAATGGTCTATTTGTCACCACTTTTGAAAACTAGGCCATTTATTTAGGTGCTGACATATGGATTGAGGATCTTCACTGTAGGCACTCATTTAAGTCTAAGTCATCCCATCAGGGGGCAGAAACATTGCCATGCCAGCTGGGTGACCAATCATAGGGTGCAGAGAGCACATATCTATCCCAACCATTTGGAGAAGGCATAGGCACACAAAAAAATGCACAAAACCCTCCGTGCCGTTGAAAATAGCCACCAAGTTCCTCAAAGTCAAGACCTGTTTAGGGACAACTGTGTTTGGGAGATAACGAAGCCAGGGGACTGGTGTGATTAGTTTGCTGAAGACAATTCAATGCAGCAGCACTAAGAGTAACTCCTATCCCTAGACCCACAGCCCTCCAGAAAGCTACCAGTCACCTCCCTCTCCTCCCGGGGAAGAACGTGGCGTTCGCCAGGAGGCGGCTGACTTGTCCCACCAGCCGATAAAGAAGCGAGCGCGGATCCAACAGGCTGCCGGCTAGAACCTCGGCCGCGGCGTCGGGATCTAGCAAGGGTGCCCCCTGCCCCTGCGCGCCGTCCGGACGCAGGAAGTGGAGTTAGTGCAGGGCCAGCGGGAGCTTTACACACCTTGGGGAGGGGCGGCCCCAGCGCTCCGCTCCAGCATGAAACGGGAGGACGAGGGCTGCGTGCTGGGCGTCAGGCTCCGAAACAAGGCGGCAGCAGCAAAGCCGCCGAGACCCCCTGGGCCAAACGTTTTCGCGTTACCCCTCGGAAGATCAGCCCCTTGCAGGGCCCGCCCGGCAATTCTCTCGCCTATGCCCCTGCAGCGAGCCCGCCCGGGCAGCCTTACCTGCTTCAGCAGCGGTATCCCGGAGTGCCAGAGCCCATAGTCCCAGCACCAGGAGCCCCGGGATCCCCATGCTCTGCTTCATCTCCATCGCTCCCGCATCTTCATCGTCAGCATCCTCCCGCCCGGCTCCACGCCGCCGGCTGCTTCGTGCTCCCACAGAGGGAGCAGGACGGGGAAGGGGGGGGACCCCCAAAGCGAAGCCCTTTCCCAGGACGCTCTGAGGGGAAGCTGCAGTGCAAACTTCGCTCTCCGCTGCACTAGGCTGGCGCCGCGGGAGCGAGCCCTCGCCAGCCCGCGGAGGAGTGTGTAGGGGAAGTTTCAGGAAGCCCCTCAAATCCCGATCGCTCAGCCTCTCTCTGCCCAGAGCGAGTCACTGAGCACGAGAGGGAATGCGAGGCAGAGCGGTCTCCCTCTGCTGGCCTCGGGCTGCATGGAGCCCCTGCAGCCGCGGCTGCCTCGGCTCTGGGCACCCGCTGCTGCTGCCGCTAATTCCTTCGGCTCTTCTTACTCCTGTTCTTCCTCCTCTTTCTCCAGGAAATGGCGCTGCCAGGCAGTCACAGAGCTGCTCTGCACCCCCACACCTCCCCGTGACATCACGTCTCATGAATATTTATAGAATCTATTTATTATCCAATCTTCCTGAACTTTTAATAAAGTGGAAAATAACAGATCTACGGAGTCAGTGTCTCCCCCAGGAATTTCCAGACGGAAAGGGATAGTGGAGATTGCATCAGTCAAAATATAACCTACCTTTCTGGCAAGAGTTTATTTGCAAGGACCAGGTAATTCTTTATATGGCTTTTATCTCCCTCCCCTCTCCAGGAAATCCTTTGGTGCGATTTATTATTTTAAATAATGCCAGCAGGCCAGCTCTCTAGTGACCAACCCTACAACAAACAAGGGGCATGATGTCCACTGCACAGGAAAAAAATCCATTCAAGAGAAGGAGATTGGAGGGAGGGGATTTTTTAAATCAAACTTGGGTGCTCATTTAGGCTCTAAGTGCAGATTTATGTTCCTAAATCAGAGGCCTGATTTCAGAGGTGCTGAGCATTCATAAATAATGAAATAAGGGAGAGTTGCTGCGGATTTGGACAGTGCATGTGAAAATGAGGTACCTTATTTTGGTGTCTAACAATGAATTTCAGAGACTAATTTTCCTAGGTAGCTTTGTCTGAAAGTTTTGGCCTGAGTTTCATACAGCAGAAGTTCCTCTGACTTGCACTCTCTGAAGGAGTGAGGGGGAATGGATTATGCTGACACAAGAACAACTGTGTGGGTCAGACCCAAGCCCAGAAGATCTTTCATGCCCTGAAGAGGCCTGGGTTATCCTGTACTCCTGCTTTCAGGGCACATATCTATTCACAGCAAAGCCTTCAACCCTCCCCTCCAGAGTGCCTGCAGCAGCCAGCCATGGAAGGTAGTGCGGATTGGTGAGCAGAGGTATTTCCTAGAGAGGTATTTCCTCTCAAGGCTTTTGGTGGGGAAAATATGCAATGGCCACCTTCCTCCCAATCTGTGAAGACCAGTCCCTGCAGCTCATCTGCAGAGGAGCTTTGGCAGAGGTTGGGGATATTCTGTGTCTCGGAGACTTGGTTGGCTTAATTTGGGCCCTTTCTGCTTGTTGAAATGTAAGGGATGATGTAGCTTATGAAGAGGGAACCATTTCCATGGAGCTATTTCTGTGAGAGGGAAAATGTCTCTGGAAGGCTATAACAAAGACCCCGACACCAGGGTGCTGAAACAGAGGTGCTGCTCAGGCCCACAGGCGGGGGAGGGAGGGGAGAAGAGGGTAATTGCCCTGGGGCTCAGCAATTTAAAAGGACCCAGAGCTCCCAGATATTGCTAGTGCTGCAGTGGCAGCATCTGGAGGCCTGGGACTTTTAAATCATCGCTGGAGCACTGCATGGCACATTCCAGGTGGCTTTGATGGCTGGGCTGGGCTGTGTGGGGGCATGCACTGCAGTCCGGGTGGCATGAGGGCTGGCTGCCTTAGCTCCATCCATTCCACCTGAGACAACGCCCCTTCCAGGAGTGTGGAGCTGGGCCCCCCTTTTGCTCAGGGTCCCAGTGAGGCTGTCGGCCCACCGTGTTGCCACACACTTCGGCTTGAGTGGTTTCCATCACATACAGAGTTTACAGTTTGGTCAGTGGCTCTCAGCACCTCCCTTGCCCCCCATAACACAAATTGTTCCAGCACCCCTGCTCTGACACTGTGCTTTCATCATTGTCCCTCTGAAAGGCATCATAAGTAGCATTGTAGCACAATGCAAGTTTCAGATTTGTAATAATAATAGTTACTATAATGTGTGGCGTTTATATGGTACTTTCTATTTTAGGCTTCCCCAGACAGCATTTGTGAATTAAGTCCACTGTGAGGAAGGGAAGTATTATTATCCCCATTCTACAGATGAGAAAACTGAGGCACAACAGAGCGACATATCTTATGCCTTAGGCTCTGGTCTCTGCATTCTACAAATCCTCACTCATTTGCATTTCTGTTAGGAATCCCTAGGGTGTTGCATTTGTATTTCTGTTAGGAATCCCAGTGCCAAGTGGGGGTCCATGACTGGCATGAAAATGGGTTTTCTCTCCCTTCTCTGTTTCTACCATCTGAAATGAAAAGGCAAGTACGAGACACTGACAAATCAGGTATACCGAAGAGCTAGCATGGTTCTCATGGGGCAATGAATCCATGACAGATGCTTTGTGGGGACTGTGATGCTCTTGTTAATTCTTGGGCTATGATGCTTAGTGTGCATGAATGCTAAAAGCATACAGCACTTCTGGTATAATCACCATAGCTAATCTGTATCTCTTCCTTCAAGCCATATGTACAAACTTAGCTATATATGCTCTATATTGATGCACATATTTATGTGGGATGTTGCTTATTGAAAGTAGCGATATTCTCAAGGTTTAACAGCCTTGTGTGTAGATAATGGGCATTATACTAACACTTGGCATTTCTACATCACTTTTCATCTAAAGATTTCAACTGTTGAGGTTTACATATGTCCCAGTAGCCCTCTGGTATGGTTATCAATATTACCAACTTAGAGATGGGGGAATTAAGGCACTGATAAGTAGGAAATTCAGATATAGACGAATGAAGTGAGTTGATCAAGGTCACGGGAGTCATAGCATAGTTGAGGATTGACCCATATTTCCTGATTCCCAGTCCCATTCTGTAACTATTAAACAATGTTTCACCTACAAGTGTGCTCAGGGCCAAGATAATAGAAACAAACTCCAGATGGACAGAGAACAAGATGGAATAATAGAAAAACTGACACACAGAAAAAGAGATCTGACCTCCAAGAGATTTATATGCGATATAAACAATTGTTTATAAAGATTTTTATCTTACATACAACCCTGTCTCCTAATCTTGGTAGTGAGTTTGGGAAAAGGCAAGAAACCTATAGGGAATGTACTTAAATGCTGCTGGAGAATCTGAAATAGATGTTTACCTTTTTATGGTTATTACTTTAAAAGTTTTTGAGCAGTATAGAATAAATTGGTCCAAATGTTTGCTGGATATTATTTCCTTTTTCTCAACCAGCTCTCATTATCAGCATCCCAAAAACAAGCCTACAGGAACAGCTTTATCTGCAAATATAAGTATGTAATGTGAACATTTTGTTAAGGGCCATAGGCCTGACACTCACAGCTCAGCATAGCTCTATTGAATTCAATAGAACTACTTTGACTTACACCAGCTGAGGTTCTAGCCTCACATCTTCCCAGAAGTGGGTTATAGCCGCAGTGATAAGGAAGAAGAACTGTATGAGAATTGGACTGAAATCCTGGATGCTTTGCCAGTTGGATTGCAGATTGTTCTGGGAAAACTGACAGAAGAGTGCTATATTACCAAGAAGAAATCAGAAAGAACTTGTGACTTTTGAATGCTTTGAAGGATCATGAACAAACTTTGCTTGCTTTTCAACATCAATGATTTTGGGCAACAGTGCCCTTGTACTGTTGGCCATAGACTACCAGGCTATGTCTACATTACGGGGGTTTTCCAGGATACCAGAGGTATCCCAGAAAAACTCCACCATGTCCAGGGAACATGTCTGCTCTTCTGCTTTTTTTTGCAGAAGAACAGACACGCTCTTTTGGAAGCCCTGTTTTCCTCCTCCCACGAGGAAGAAGGGCTCTTCTCTTCCGAAAGAGGAGGCTTTCCCAAAATTTGGCCAAGTGTAGACGGGACAAATTTTGGAAAAGCCTCTTCTGAAAAAAACTATCGGAAAAAGGTACGCTAATTGCAGGGTACACAATTTGCATACCTTTTTCCGATACATCAGTGTAGTATAGACATAGCCCCAGTGACAGTATTTATTACATATTGATTACAATGACTCATAATTAATCTGTCACTTTCCTGCTTGTCATCTTCCTCTATTTTGATATTAGGGTGTTTATGTTTCACCTGACCTATTGGATGTTTTATATAGATTTTGGCAAAGGCTTTGCACTACAAAGTGACTTTGCACTACAAAGGATCAAGTACCAGGAGAGCATGTTGAAATTTTTTTGAAATTCAAAATTTTGTTGAAAAAGTTAGTGATAAAATTTTCATACTTTTTTGACCAAATACAGAGCTAGTCAAAGTGTTGACAAAGTTTTAAAGGCAAGAGGAAACTTTTTCTTTTAAATATTGGCCAGATTTTTTGGCAGTTTTTCAATCCGCTCTAATTACAAGGGTTTTGCTGAAAAATGCACCTACAAAAGAAGAACCAGCCATCAAAAGAGAAAGCAGCTTTGTCTTCATCACAATCACAACCTCTCTCTGAGGTCTGCAAAATAAAGGCCTCACTTTAGTGTCGCACAGTGTCCCTATTCTGCGTCAGAAGGGATCAAGTTTTGCAAATGCTACTAGATTACATCCATCTTTGGTTTTGCTGCAGCTATCCCCTTGCAGGTGTACACAAATTCCTGATGCTTTAAATGAGGTGGTCTTCAAACAGCTGACATAATTCACACTTAGATGTGAATGTCCAGTCCTATCCTTTCTCTGACGTTAGTGACAAAGGGCACAAGTTGTTCCTTCAGTAGTCAGAAGATAGGCCTGTCATCCTACATAAGTAAATTGAAGTGCTGGCAGGAGTGACAGTGAAGTGACATTCAAGTAGCAGGAGTTGCTCTGCTCTGCTGGGAAGGAGATCCAGGATGACTGTTCAGATGCTTTCTGAGCTGTCTGGGGATGGCTGAACCAGCACATTCCGCACCAGATCAGAATGGGAGATGCATCATGCTTTTTGTTTTGCCAAATAGCATGAATGAGCTCTCAGGTTTCCCCAGCTGTGTGGGCCTACTAAGGGTAGCTTCTCAATATATGCCCCAAGGCATGGTCAAAGGGGATGGGGGAAATTGGTGGGAATCCTTAGGGTTTCTCAAGCATTCCCAGGGATGTAACCAAGGAGATGGGGGATATGATGATAGTGGTAGGGCATATACCTAGTGAACACTACATTGAAAAGATTAAATTAATTGGTTTGGCAAAAGTTATCTCCCATGCTCTGCCCAGCCCATCATAGTAATGAGCTGTTTATAGGGTTGCCAGGTGTCCGGTTTTGAACCGGACAGTCCAGTATTTGAGCTTTCTGTTCGGGAAACAAATTGAGAAAATATAAATGTCCGGTATTTTTTAAATAAGATGTAATGTAGATTGTGATGTAATGTCAAATGTGGTCGGTATTTTTGTTGAAACCATCTGGCAATCCTAGCTGTTTACATAATATAGTATTGCACAATAATAACCATTCTAGGGACCCACTTATAATATAGCTGTCCCCTGACATAGTTGATACCTGGGTCAGTCTCTATTTTGCACCTAAATATCCTTTTAACAATGTCCCCAGACTGACTATGCTAGAGTCTTGGACAGGTCTGGGGCTTTCACACAGTTAATAGATGTAGGCTTCAGTTATGCTAAAAGACTGAACCACATTTTAACAGTGCTGGGGGTACTTGCACTGTAACCATGTTATCTGGCTTGATTGTGACCTCAGGCTGGGAGTTATCTTTATCCACATCAAGCCCCTGACTTTCACTTAAATGTGTATGCATCCAGCATTCCTTTTCTGTTTCCTTTCATGTTTCCTTCTCCCTCTCCTCTATCTCTCGATCACCTCCCTTCTGGGAAATAATGCTGGAATGTGTCCAGTTCTTGTATTTCTGGAAGCTACAGCCTCCTCCAGTTCTTAAGTCTTCCATATGTCCATCGTTTAACTCTGTGCATGTGTGTATGTAAAGGAGAAAGGGAATCATATTAAACAGACTGCACTACTCCAGCTAAAAATAATTAGAGATGAGCTCAAGAAGATACAGAGCTCAGATCTGACTCTTGATTGGGATTTAAAATCTCCCCATGTTCTAAGTGGTAGTGGGGAGTGCCATTCAGAGCTGAGGTTTGGGCTAACTCATTTTAGTGTGAATCTCAGTCTGAACTCCTTCCCAGGTTTGAGGTTTACAGTTGAGATTTTTGGCATGACTCCATCTCTAAAAACTCCCCCAAACCTAGACCTGGCTCTTTTAAGCATTTGCACAGGAAACTCTAAGCACTTTTGTAGACTAAAAGCATCATGTAACTTTTGCAATTAGTGCCTACTTGCCGAAGTGGTAGGCACTTACATAAAACATTTGTATAAATAGATAAAACTCCTATAAGACCGAGACAACGTTTTGATTGCAATCACCATTACTTACAGATTAACTTTGTGTTGCATAGGTGAAAGCAATCCCCCCTATCTCTCTTGTGTGGATATAAATGCAGTATTACAATACAGAATAATTAAACAGAAAGGATTTTTACACAATGAAACAGTCAATGCCATAAGAAATCCCTATATATGTATAGGTACAGATATGATCTACAGGTAGTTCAAATTACCAATTTCAAATTACAAGTAGATATATAAGAAATGATTTGGGAGTAAGTATTTGTTAACAGTCCCTTAGTGGACAATTTTTCTTATTTATTTGCCCTATGGTGTTAAAACACCTTGTTTCTGAAAAATTCTGTAATGCATTCTGTATCTATGGATGTGCACTGATAGTCATTTCTGTGATCCACCCAACAACATTTCTCGGTTTTGTTTGGGGTGAGAGGATCACTCACTCATTGGACGAGGTTTGCAATCTGAAGCGGTCCCTTAGCAAATCCGGAGAACAGCCAGCCACTTTGGGTTCATTAAGATTGTGGAGCTAGGAAATGTTTCAATAACTCTGAGGCCCAGTAGACCTCAAGCCTTGTCTACTGTTGCTAACCACAGTTCAGCTTCCACTGGTGGTAGAGCATCTTGTTGTAGATATGTCGTTGGCTGCTGCCGGTGTTTTAACCAGACCTCCTCTGAGCAGGGTTAGATGGCACAGAGGCCGGTCTGGCATTACACTAAGGCACCTTTACCATGATCTGGCAGCATAAAGGGGCCTTTTAGGTAGTAGAAACAACACCTCAAGGATATCTCTGCATAAAGGGCCTCCTGGCCAGCATAGAACTAGGATGATACAGGCTGTGCTCCCAGCCCCTGATGTTGGGGCCCTGGAGTGGGAAGCTGAGAGTGGGCCAAAGGATGTACCCCAGTACACAATGCTACAGCTGTTTGTTTCCCAGAACCCACAGAAGCCATGGGAAGCAAAGGGTAAGTTAGAGCAGTTCTGAGGTTGCTTTAACTGACACTCAGGTCTGTGGCAACCTCCAAACAGCCTCAGATTATGGGGTGCACACAGGTGACAAAGATCACCCAGCTTTGGCCACCCCCTTCCTATGCCGGGTGTGGGAATGGAGTAACTGGGAATCAGGGTCATAATGCTAAAAATGGTGGTGCTAACCAGCATTTAGTCTACATTAGTGCCCCAACGTGGCTAACTCTGAAGAGTGGAACTGGGGTTAGCAATTGTAAGAAATGTTTTATTGACAAGGCCTGTGAGCATGGTGGGGTAGGAGGAAAGGTGGGATGGAACATCATCTTTCCTTTTACTGGTAAACGTCAGTATTTTGGGGCATGACCTTACAGTGACAGCTCTGGATGTGCAGCACCTTTCAGTATCAGGTCCTTTGTTTCTACAAATGGTCCATTAGAGTAGTAGATATTTTTTACCAGTACTAACTGGCTGTGCCCAGAAAGCAAGCAAGACACTTTGATTAAGCAAAATCAAACACTCTTGAGACCTTGGAAAGAAATGGTGAGAACTTAGGGAGCACAACTGAGATAGCCAGAAAGGAAAACAGGTGGACACAGAAACGCGGGAGGAAGTGAAAGCGGGAGGGAGTAAATGAGAGGAGGGGGAAAGATTTGGAAAGGTAAATGTGGTCTTGTGATAACAGCAGGTGACTATGACTCTGCAGATTTGAATTCAGTTTCTGGCTCTGACTTCCTGTGCAATATTGGGCAAATCACTTAACCTCTCTGAGCCTCAGATTCATACTTTACAAGAGAGTTGCAAGTCTAAATGCATCAATGTTTGCAAAGTGCTTTGATATCCTTGGGTGGAAATTGCTGTAGTGGTGCAAAGCATAAGGACTGACATGTGAGGGGAGGATTGAGAGGGGAGACCTGACAGGGGAAGAAAGGAAAAGGATGACTGATGAGTGAAAGAAGGGATGGAAAGAGAAAAAAGAGAGGGGCCACCAAGTGATGGGAAAGTAATAAGAAGTGGGAGGAAGAGAACCGAGTAGCTGCTTGTCAGAGGGGATATATTTTCTTGCATTGGCGTGGAAGGAAATTAAATTGGAGTGTTTGGCCTGTTAAGCTACTGTGTGCTGGCACAGTCATGAAGTTTATGGTTTCCCTGCTGATCTCTGTCAAACAGTGCTAGTGCTATGGAGTTGTCCTGGAGAGAGAGGAGCCATAGAGCCATAAGGCCTGATCACAGAGAGGTCTCCAGGCAAGATGAGCGCCGGATGTAGAAGCGCCTCCCCTCATGCCCTTCAGGCCTGTGCACAATTAACACTGGGAAAAAGCGGGCATCCTGGTAGGTGGGTGGGTTTTCATTGATGGCTAGCTGGCTAGAGTAAGAGCAACATTGTTCATCCTGGCAGCCACGGTCCGCAATGCTGCTGCTGCAGCTCCTCCAAAGGCCTGTCCTGTGGGACCCGTGAACCCGGCACAAAGAGAAGCGGCTGGTGTTGAGGGAGAGACGTGAGTTTCCGCTGCCACTGTGGAAGGCGTAGCGGGAGAAGATGGAGGAGGTGCTGGAGGCCTGGTTGCAGCGCTCACAGCCGTGAGCTATTTCACTGTACCCACACACAGAGTAGCCGTTGTACGTAGGGGAGCCTGTCAGGTCCAGGAGCATGGCCTCCGAGTAGCTGGGGATCAGCTGTCGGTTGGTACAGATGTGCCATTCCAGTTCAGTGCTGTCCTGAGTGTTATCCCGGGGCATGCGATACCTGTACAGGGGCTCTTCTGCTACGCCAGGCACCGTGTATTCTAAGCCTAGGAGCTTCTCAACATGGTAGTGCACATATGCAGTCTGATATTCTATGAGCACCCGCAGTGGCCAGGAGATCATCAAGACAGCTGCCATCCAGAAAGTGTAGTGGGACACGTACCATGGGAGATGCTCTGGGTCCCCGTAGGCCATCATAAGCTCTTTGAAGTCTATGTTTTTAAGCTGCATACCTTCCCTGACCTCCATGTAGTCATCCAGCCCCTCAATCTCTGTGAAAAAGTGAGCCCTTTGGGTCAGGTAGGAGTTCTCTGACTCAGTGTTGGCAAAGCTGAAGCACTTGGTGAACTTCAGCTTTGTGGCTGTGTAGCATTCCAGGCCCAGCAGCTCCTTGGAGATATCCTTGAATCCACAGTGGGTGTAGTCAAACTCGGCTTCAGCCACATGTGTGTTGACCCGCTCATGGTAGACCTGCGTGGTGGTATAGGCATCACCATTGCGGTAGCGGGTTACCTGCCGGGTGCGCCGCACAAAGTGGTAGCTGATGGCCTTCCACCAGATACACGGAGTGGCCTGCTGCATGCGGCTGATACAGTCATAGACGCTGTCTACATCCACCTTGTACTGGAGTTCGCTTTTGGCATGGCAGTGCCAACACTCCACCAGGTAGGCCACGTACAGCATGGTGAGGAAGGCTAAGGGGATGTAGACATAGCCATCAGAGCACGGGCTATCATGGTAAATCATGGACTTGCCCTTGAAGGAGCCATCAAAGCTGAGTTTGGTGACACGGGCTAGCTGACACCAGGCCACAGCGCCCAGGCAGCCATACATGAGGACGGAAAGGAGGAGGCATTTCCAGTGGGATTCTCTGCACATGGAGGCACTCAAGGACTGTTTGACAGGACGTTGCTGAGAAGGAAGAGAAAGCATAATTTATTTCAGTGATGTCATTTTACATAATACATGACTCTTACTTTCAAGACTGTGTTTGGCATAGCCCCTGAATGCCTTTAAGGCTAGATTGGACCTGTAGGCAGAGCCGTGAGTAAGGTGCAGTGTGTAAACTCCAGTCACAGAAGTAGCCTCAGAAAGAATTGTGCCTCCGAGACATGTCTCTAAGGCACAATACCTTCCCTTTTCTCTCCGTGCTCCACTATGGGAATAACATGCTGCTGGCCTATATCAATAGCCGATCTACTCCAGACCGCTCTCCTTCTGGCCAAACTAAAATCGCAGCCTGTGTCTCTAACATCTCCTTGTGTCTATCTAGCCATCAGCTCAAGCCACGTATGGCCATGTCAAGGCTGTTCCCCACTCTGGCACTTGGGCTGTTTCTAGACTGGCAAGTTTTTCCGCAAAATCATCTGCTTTTGCGGAAAAACTTGCCAGCTGTCTACACTGGCCGCTTGAATTTCCAGAAAAGCACTGACGATCTCATGTAAAATCATCAGTGCTTTTCCGGAAAAACTATGCTGCTCCCGTTCGGGCAAAAGTCTTTTTCCGAAAGACTTTTGCGCAAAAGGGCCAGTGTAGACAGCATAGTACTATTTTCCACAAAAAAGCCCCGATTGTGAAAAAGGCGATCGGGGCTTTTTTGCGGAAACCACGTCTAGATTGGCCACGGACGCTTTTCCGCAAAAAGTGCTTTTGCGGAAAAGCATCCTGCCAATCTAGACGCGCTTTTCCGAAAATGCTTTTTTTCCGTTAAAAGCATTTTCGGAAATTCTTGCCAGTGTAGACGTAGCCTCTGCATGCAGAAGGTGGGGGCCCGCAAGAGACCTTAAAAAAACCTTGCCTATAGAGGCTTCTGTTTTAAAAACTCCTCAGGTCACAGACTCCCTGACGTTGGGAGGCAGGCTGCTACCACCCAAATAAAACCTCCCTTTCTTCTTGAACCCAGGAAGAAAGCACTTGGGAACTTCTTCTAGAGGGGCACCTCCCCTAAACTCTTTTACCACTAGAGAGCTTTTAAAAAAAGGAAACAAACTGTAATCTCTGATAGTGGACCTCTCAGTCTAGGCATGCATACACAGACCTCCTATTACCTTCCAGGACACAAGAATCAGATCATAGCCTTAAAAAGGTGATTTTATTAACAAAATAAAAAGATATACTTAGTAAAGCATACTATGTTACTAGGTGTTTTAAAGTAACCGAGAAAAGAACAAATTACAACACAGAGAATTGTATCCCTGAGATTCGTCTTTAAAGTTACAGTGTATGGAGTAGGGTATATGGATTTAGCACAGAGGAGTTTAGCCAAACAACAAAACAAAGAAAATAACCTGATCATGTCTAAATAAACATTCCCTATCTATTCACATATCCTTACTTCAAAGTCACACACACGCACACACACACCATCCATCTATCTATCTATATGTTAAAACAGAATTATGAATCTTTTTTCCAAAATGCTCCTTGCTACCTCCTTTCATAGTCACTGTGGACAACACCACCATTCTTCCTCTCACTCATGCCTAGAGCCTGGGTGTCCATACTTCTTTTTAAGTCCTTGCAGCCAGGCTTGTAGATCCTGTCCACTTAACATCTCTAAGGCTATGTCTAGACTGCATCCCTCTGTCGACAAATCAAGCACATCGAAATTGCTAATGAAGCAGGGATTTAAATATCCTGTGCCTCATTAGCATAAACATTCAGGGGGGAATAACGGCAGTGTAGACGTGGATCTGTCGAAAATAAAGCCTTTTTCAACAGATACTGTATTCCTCAAAAAATGAGGTTTATAGGATATGTTGAAAAAGGCTTTATTTTTGACAGATCCGCGTCTAGACTGCTGTTTTTTTTCAAAAAAACTCCATTTTGAAAAAAAGTGGCGGCCATGTTTATTGCTAACGAGGCATGGGATATTTAAATTCCTGCTTCATTAGCAATTTTGATGTGCCTAATCTACATATCTCTGTCAACAGAGAGGTGTAGTCTAGACACACCCTAAGATACAGCCATTCCTGTCCATACACACAGCTAAAACTCTCATCCTTCTCTGATTGTCTCACATCTGTTACTACCACACCATTTTCTCTGGTATTGACTTAGGCCAAGCCCACTAATGGGGGAAGAATAGGGAGCAGTTGCTATGGGGCCTGGTGATTTAAAAGGGCCCAGGGCATCCAGCTGCCACTGTTGCCACTGCTGCTCCTGAGAGCTGAGGTGCAGCAGAGCATACTCTTGGCAGCGTTGAGGGCTGGCTGCTCCACAGCCCCCCTCATCGACCTGAGGCCCTGCCTCTTCTAGGAGCATGGAGCTGACCCTGTCCACACCTTGTCCAAGGGCCCAGCAAGTCTGTCAGTCCTCCTGAGAAAAGCAATCTTGCCCTGTTTGTATCCAGGCAGAAAGCAAAGATCATTTCCTGGCTTCTCCCTTTGATTGTTTCATCCTTCTCTTTGCATGCCCTCATGAGCTCCCTCTTCTCTGTTTTATCAAACATAAGCTGCTTGGCTTCACTCTCAGGCCTTTCCTGACTTACCAACTGAGCACTGGCTGGGGCTAATTAAAATGGTGCTGGGGCTCAAGCAATTGCTTTATTTTCATAACTAAGGCAGCAAGTCCAGAGGTGCTGGGGCTATGAAGTGCCAAACCTAGAAGTGCCAGGGCTCTATGCTATGCTTTCTCCCCTGTTGCTCCTTGTGCCTGGGAGGTACTTCCTGTAACCATCTGCAAAGCCACCTCCTTGTCCTCCTTTCAAACCCTTCCTTAAAACTTAGCTCTGCTGTGATGCCTATAGAAGACAACAGTGAGGCTGCTGAGGCCTTGTCAATCCAGCTGACCAATACTATCTCACTGGCTCCTTGTACTGTCCTCATGTGTTGGAGGTGAGAGGGGGTGAATTGACAAGTTTGTGCAATGTATGAATGAGAAGACAGTTTGGCTACTGTCTGACTCGGCCCTGCATTCTGCAACTGCTGAATTTTTTAAAGCTGTGCTCTCACTCTGTTGCTGAGAAGCCTAGGGAGCATGCTCCTTTAGTGGTTTTGCTCCCACTCATTCTGGACACGCCCCATAGTTGACAGAGGACTGCCAGAGCAGCATAAAGCCAGAGAAATGTAAACCAGAACCAGGGCCTGTGCCTCCAGCAGCACAGAGCTGACTCAGAGGTAAGAGTGACACCTACCAAATTATCAACACCATGTGTGCTGCAGCATTTTCTTGGAGGCCTCCCATCCAGAAATTGCCTAGTTTCAACCATATTTACTTTTAGTTCTGACAGAATCACAGTTCCAGGTGGCATGGTAACAGGCTGAAAACAGTATTGGCTAAAAGCAAATTAAAAAAAAAGGGTTTATGTTTTGTAGCTAATTAAAATCCAGACTATCCCCCAGCCTTTGGGGCTCAAAAGGCAGGACACAGATCACAAATAAAAGAATTTATACTCCTATCTGTGTTCCCTGAAAGAACAGCATTAACGTCCTCGCCCTGATGATGTTGCAATGAATCTGTTGCATGGGATGCTACACTGGGCTTTTGATAAAAGACCAAGCCAAGCAGCAAAAAACTGTAGCAACTAAGCTGTTTATAAAGAGCAGCAGTAATGTGTGTCAGTGTCAGTATTGGCTGGTTCCAGCGTGCAGCCTTATACCTAATGGCCGTGTCTACATTGGCACCCTTTTCCAGAAAAGGGATGCTAATGAGACACTTCGGAATTGTAAATGCCACGGGGGATTTAAATATCCCCCATGACATTTGCATGAACATGGCTGCCGCTTTTTTCCGGCTCGGGGTTTTGCCGGAGAAAAGCGCCAGTCTAGAGGGGATCTTGCGGAAAATAAAGCCTTTTTCGGAAGATCCCTTAATCCTACTTGAAAGTAGGAATCCTACTTGAAAGTAGGAATAAGGGATCTTGCGGAAAAGGCTTTATTTTCCGCAAGATCCCGTCTAGACTGGCGCTTTTCTCCAGCAAACCCCGGAGCCGGAAAAAAGCGGCAGCCATGTTCATGCAAATGCCGCGGGGGATATTTAAATCCCCCGCGTCATTTGCAATTCCGACTGGTCTCATTAGCATCCCTTTTCTGGAAAAGGGTGCCAATGTAGACACAGCCAATATGTACTGTTCAGGAATATCTCTCTCTGTACTGGCCTCCCTCTTGTTACTGATGCCTCTTGGCTGCACTTTGCGGTAAGAGTATTGCAGCAATAAAAAGGGAGAAACACACCAAGATACTTTTATTAGCGTTTCCACTCTGCTTTTCCACCTGGGATGCAAAAATAGAACTCATCTATCTCTCAAGAGCCACCTCGAACATTCCAAACATCTTCGCAGCTTCCAACAGATGCCATGTTTGTAAAGCAGCTTATCAGAGAAAATTGCCTCCTTCTCCCCCTAGATGTGGTGTTGCCCCTTAATATTGTTTTTCTTGGGCCCACAAGAGGCAAGATTTAGTTCTGGCCAAGTGATAAATTTAAGGTCCAATGCTTCATGACCCGTACAGAGCTAGACATGGGAGTTTGATGTCATTTGAAAGAAGAGCTTGCCCTTTTCCCCATGGGACAGCAGTATTTGCTTTTAACTTTGCAATGGTATGAGTTTAAAATTATTCATTTTTAGATACAGTAAAGCTATTTTAGGTCATTTTTAGAGGTCATTTTAGCTTTTTCTGAGTTCTGTACAGTTATACTCCCAGGACTAGATTTTAATGGTATAGATTCTCATTTCACATTGGTGTAAACTCCGAGTAACTCCAACAATTTCAATGGAATTACAGTGATGTAAATCTAGAGTAATTGACATCAGACTTTGGCCCATGGTGCTTCCAGGAGGAAATTATGATAACTGCTGTAAAGGGACTAAATTGCTAAATATGTAATTTAGATCTATTTTATGGCCCTGTTATGCTACTGCAATGGTGTATATTGACCTTATTACAAAAGAAAATCAGGCCCATTTTCCTCATCTCCTTTAGGGACCTTTGAGG